CACGTCCTCTGAGTCCTAAGTACGTGGGACACACAGGTAAACATGCATTAAGGATACAGATGGAAATGCACTAAACAGTCCAGCTCTGAGGTGGGTCAGAGAATGATTTTCAGGAGAGGTGATATTTGAGCTGGATGGATCTCAAAGGAGAAGCTGAAACCAGCCTGGCCTGAGATGATGTTTTAGAGAAGGAATCTGCTGGTGCTAAGACCCAGGGCTAAGAGAGACTGAGCAATAAATAAATGGGACAGAAACTGCTATCAATTTAGGGTGGCTGGAAATCAGTTTATCTCTGTGTGTTGGAGATGGGCTAGGGGTCAAAAGGCAAGGAGGGATCAGAAGGGTCTTGAAAGATAAGAGAAGGTGCTGGAAAGCCATTAAAAGCTTTTAAGCATCAGAGTGACAGTGTAGTTCTTTGGGTTGGCTATTCTGGCTGCTGCGTAGAGAATGGATGAAAGGGACAGCTAGAAGCTGAGACAAATTCAGAGCCCTCAGAAATCTGGGGTGATGGCATGGGAGCAGAGGTGGAGGCGATGGAATGGCTTTGAGAGCTATGAAGGCAGCAGAAGGGAAAGGATCTACACCATTATAATAAAAGCATTGACAATAACAGCATAATGTAGGGACTTAAACAATAGCTCTGGTTTCTGAATGTAAAGGCGAGAATCTTTTCCCCTCCCTTTTTTTGGGAAAAATTTCAAACCTCAGAAAAATTGCAAGATAGTTTCTGTGAACACCCAATATACCCTCACTGAGATTTACCTACTGTCACATTTCGCCGCTCTTTTTCTCTGTGTCTCTGCTTTTATACATACAGAGATGTATACATACATGTTTGTATGCATAGCTTTTTTCCTGAACCACTTGCAAATTTGTTTCAGAAACCATGATACTGTACCTCTAAACACTTCAGCATTCATCTCTTTTGAATAAGGAGATTTTTCTAACATATTCACAATACCATTAACTTCCTGAGGAAATTTAATATCCATATACTGTAATGGAGAAGGAAATGGCAACCCACTCCAGTGTTCTTGCCTGGGACATCTCATAGACAGAGGAGCCTGGTGGGTGACATACAGTCCATGGGATTGCAAAGAGTCAGACATGACTGAGCACACACATACACACACACACATATACACCTTAATATAAAGCCCATATTCAAATTTTACCAGTTGTTCCAGAAATGTCTCCTAAAGCTGCTGTGTTTTTAATTTTATTTTAAAAAATTCAAAGATTATGTGTTGCAGTTACTGTGTCTCTTTTGTCTTTTCTTTTGTTTCCTTTCTTTTTTTTGCATCAATGTTAGAAATGTTTATTTAAAAGCAATAATTAAGGTGAGAGTTCCCTGGTGGATGAGGGGTTTAGGATTTGGCACTTTCTTTGCCTCATGGTGTGCAAAAAAGAAAAATGGTGATTAGGTAATTGAACAAAATGTAGGAGGCCTAATGTAATTGGTTCTACTTTTTTCTATGTAGAGATTATTTTAGCAACATTTTATTTTGAAATAATTTCAAATTTACAGAAACATTGCAACAATAATACAAAGAATATTCCTATATGTTTCACCCAGAGTCACCAGTTATTTATACTTTGTCACATTTACCTTTTCATTCTCTTATCTACAAATATATATACAGATTTTTTTCTGAACCATTTGAAAATAAGTTGCTCCTCTTGCCCCTAAATACTACAGGGTGTATTTTCTAAGGACACTGTCTTAAATAGCCCAATGCAAGTATCAAAATCAGGAAATTTAACTATATTTGGTACTAATATAGTTATATTAATATATACTACTGTATATATTAATATATACTAATATAATACCTAAATTTGGTACTATAAATAAATAAATGGGACAGAAACTGCTATAAATTTAGGGTGGCTGGAAATCAGTTTATCTCTGTGTGTTGGAGATGGGCTAGGGGTCAAAAGGCAAGGAGGGATCAGAAGGGTCTTGAAAGATAAGAGAAGGTGCTGGAAAGCCATTAAAAGCTTTTAAGCATCAGAGTGACAGTGTAGTTCTTTGGGTTGGCTATTCTGGCTGCTGCGTAGAGAATGGATGAAAGGGACAGCTAGAAGCTGAGACAAATTCAGAGCCCTCAGAAATCTGGGGTGATGGCATGGGAGCAGAGGTGGAGGCGATGGAATGGCTTTGAGAGCTATGAAGGCAGCGGAAGGGAAAGGATCTACACCATTATAATAAAAGCATTGACAATAACAGCATAATGTAGGGACTTAAACGATAGCTCTGGTTTCTGAATGTAAAGGCGAGAATCTTTTCCCCTCCCTTTTTTTGGGAAAAATTTCAAACCTCAGAAAAATTGCAAGATAGTTTCTGTGAACACCCAATATACCCTCACTGAGATTTACCTACTGTCACATTTCGCCGCTCTTTTTCTCTGTGTCTCTGCTTTTATACATACAGAGATGTATACATACATGTTTGTATGCATAGCTTTTTTCCTGAACCACTTGCAAATTTGTTTCAGAAACCATGATACTGTACCTCTAAACACTTCAGCATTCATCTCTTTTGAATAAGGAGATTTTTCTAACATATTCACAATACCATTAACTTCCTGAGGAAATTTAATATCCATATACTGTAATGGAGAAGGAAATGGCAACCCACTCCAGTGTTCTTGCCTGGGACATCTCATAGACAGAGGAGCCTGGTGGGTGACATACAGTCCATGGGATTGCAAAGAGTCAGACATGACTGAGCACACACATACACACACACACATATACACCTTAATATAAAGTCCATATTCAAATTTTACCAGTTGTTCCAGAAATGTCTCCTAAAGCTGCTGTGTTTTTAATTTTATTTTAAAAAATTCAAAGATTATGTGTTGCAGTTACTGTGTCTCTTTTGTCTTTTCTTTTGTTTCCTTTCTTTTTTTTGCATCAATGTTAGAAATGTTTATTTAAAAGCAATAATTAAGGTGAGAGTTCCCTGGTGGATGAGGGGTTTAGGATTTGGCACTTTCATTGCCTCATGGTGCGCAAAAAAGAAAAATGGTGATTAGGTAATTGAACAAAATGTAGGAGGCCTAATGTAATTGGTTCTACTTTTTTCTATGTAGAGATTATTTTAGCAACATTTTATTTTGAAATAATTTCAAATTTACAGAAACATTGCAACAATAATACAAAGAATGTTCCTATATGTTTCACCCAGAGTCACCAGTTATTTATACTTTGTCACATTTACCTTTTCATTCTCTTATCTACAAATATATATACAGATTTTTTTCTGAACCATTTGAAAATAAGTTGCTCCTCTTGCCCCTAAATACTACAGGGTGTATTTTCTAAGGACACTGTCTTAAATAGCCCAATGCAAGTATCAAAATCAGGAAATTTAACTATATTTGGTACTAATATAGTTATATTAATATATACTACTGTATATATTAATATATACTAATATAATACCTAAATTTGGTACTATACTACCCATATTCAAATTTCCCCAACTGTGCCAAGGATGTCTTATAGTCTTTTTTTTTTTTTTAGATAACCAGGATCTAATTAGGGTTCACATATTGCATTTAATTGTTGTGTCTCTTTAGTCTTTAAATATATTTATTTATTTGGCAGTGCCAGGTCTTATTTGTAGCATGTGAACTCTTAGTTACAGCATGTGGCATCTAGTTCCCTGACCAAGGATTGAATCTGGGGCCCCTGCACTGGGAGTGTGGAGTCTTAGCCACTGGACCCCCAGGGAAGTCTTTTTAGTCTTTAATCTAGGTGATTGCCAGGTTTCTGTGTGGGATATTTCACAATAATGACATTTTTGAACAGTTCAGCGCAGTTGTTTTGAAGAATGTCCCTCAATTTGGGTTTGTCTGTTTGTTTTTCATGACTAGATTCAGAGCAAACATGTTTGACTACTTGGTAGGTGATGGCATGTCCTTTTCAGTGCAAAATGTCAGTGGGAACATGTTAAGAGGTTGTGTTACCTTTTGGTTAAGCTGGGTTCAAATTGGGGCTGCTTATTTTGCTAGCTGGGCAAGTGAGTCATTTAGATGATTTTCTTAGCCATCAAATGAGGGTAATAATAATTCTGATTTATGAGTTTGTTGAATTAAAAAAAAAATTATTTGGCTGTGCTGGGTTTCAAATCTTCACTGGGGTATGCAGGATCTTTTTTTCAGTTGCCACATGTAAACCCTTGGTTGAGTCATGTGGGATCTAGTTCCCTGAACAGGGATCAAACCCTGGCCCCCTGCATTGGGAGCTCCCAGTCTTAGCCACTGGACCACCAGGGGAGTCCCAAGCTTGTTGAATTAATACACATAGGGCCCTTAGAACAGTGCAATGCATTTGTATTTAATAAATTATTAGTATTGATATTATTGTTGTCATCAATACTATTTCTACTGAAATTTATAGAGACCTTAATATGAGACGCACTGAATCCAGTGCTCAGTTCTTTGCCCTTCCAGCACCTAGGACACTGTATGACACAAAGGAGGCATTCAATAAATATTTGTTGGCAAAATGTCAACACCATGAGATAGATTGCTATCAATAGCTAACCAACTCAAGGATGAGGAAACGGAGGCTCAGTGAAGTGATTTATCTAGGTCACTACGGGCAGTAAGAGGCAAGAGCCGGGATTTGAACCAAGCTTATAGGCTTTGTAAAACCACGGATAAGGAATCTGAATATTTTGTAAACCCTCAAGGACTGTAGATGCAGAGCTGAAATGGAGCGCCACGCAGTGTGCTGCCGCATGCATACAGAAGGTGCTCAATACATAGCTGAATGAATGAGAAAAGAAAGTGAGTCAATTAGGGAGAGTTCATCATGCCCTGGTCTGGGCCAGCGCTAGGGTGGGACTGGGAATCCACCGGTCCTCATACTTCCCAGCCAAGAGTCACCACAGGACCACGTGTTCCAGTAGGGTGTGGCTTCTGGTGACCACGCCCACAGACAAACCACGCCTTTCACCTTTCCGGGCGCCCGCGAACAGCCGAGGTGTTTTGGCCCGCGCACGGAGCCGTAGCTTACAGTTTCCTCGGGCGTCCGCGACCGGGAAACCAGCTGTTCCAGGTTCCGGGCAGACGTGCACAATGTCGGAGAAGGCAGGGAGTCAGAGTGGGGGCTCCCCGGAGGCCAGTGGGGTAACTGTCAGCGACATTCAGGAACTGATACGGCGCAAGGAGGAGATCGAGGCCCAGATCAAAGCCAATTATGAAGTGCTGGAGAGCGTGAGTGTGGGAACTGGGCTCCCGGGAGGGCTGGGAGGCGCCGCAACGCATTCCCGACCCGGCCCCCAGACCGGGCAGTGAGGCAAATAAGATGAGTAACTAGGAACGATTCGAATTGATGCCCTAGCAAGCATTTATGGAACCCTCACTGGGAACTGTGTTAAACGCTTGATATTGGTTAACGCATTTAATCCTCCCGACTATCTTTTGAGGTGAGTTCTATTATTTCCCCCATTTTAGGGATGGAGAAACAGGGACATTACTTAAACCTGCCTGAAGTCACGGGGCTAATAAATTTGCAGAGGCAGGGTGATAATTATCTCTGTCATCAGTCGTTGTACAGTTACCAGATGTCCTGTAATCACTTTACCTTAGAGCTTCTTAAACTTTAACGTGTATGCGAATCACCTGGCGATCTTGTTAAAATTCAGATTCTGATGAGGCATGGGTGTGTGGGAACAGCTACTGCATTTCTGCAAATTACCAGCGATGCTGATGCCACTGGTGTAAGAACGTAACAGGAAAGGTTTATTATCCCTATTGTGTAAGGAGGAGACTGGGGCCAAGAGTAGGGCAAACCCTTGCCTAGGGTCATGTACGTCGGAAGTGGCTGTGATGGGGTTAGTTCTCAGGTCTCTCTGGCTCCGAAACGGATAGTTTTTCTTAAGCCACCTAGTATAAAACCACAAATCAATTTGCAGAGGAAGAGTAAATGAATTACATTCTATATAGTGCAATATAGGGGATGGTTATAAGATGAAGTATCATGTGGAGGCCAGGGTACCCTTTTACTGGGTGCTGACTGTGTGCCTGAAGGGAGCTGGTTTATGTGTATGCTATATCCTGGAATCCTCTCAACTGCTTTGTGAAGTTGGTATGTTACCCTGGGGCTCAGAAAGAAGTCACAAGGTGAGATTTAGATCTCATGCCTTGGGAATCCAGAATCTGTGCTTTCAAGTGGTTTATGCCAGCTATTTCTCACACCTTAGTTATTTTTCTACTGCAGGCAGGATGCTGTGTCTGTATACCTCCTGTACTGTTACTCCGTTGTTATTTTCCTTTAAGTTAACCCTTTTTTTAACTTTATTTTTAAAGGAAATTTTGTAACTTCACAGCCTATGGAAACGTAAGAATCTCTTTCCTTAAATATAAGATAATTAAAGTGATCCCCCCCAAAAGGTGATCTATCCATTTAACTGTCACCTGATGAATGGATAATGAAATGTGGTCTGTCCATACAATGAGATATTACTTAAATAAAAAAGAGTGAAGTGCTGACATATGCTACAAAAGGGCATGAACCTTGAAAGCTAAGTGAAAGAAATTCATCACAAAAGACCATACATTTTATGATTCCATTTATATGAAATATCTAGAATAGGCAAATTCATGGACAGAAGGTAGATTAGAGGTTGCCAGGGGCTGAGGGGAGGGGGAGATGGAAGTGGCTGCTAGTGGGTCAGAGTTTCTTTTTGGAGGGTGGTGGAAGTGTTTTAAAATGGATTGTGGTGATTATTTCATAATTCTGTGAATATTCTAAAAACCACTGAATGGTACATTTATTTACTTGACTGCACCACACAGCATGATCTTAGTTCCATGACCAATGATGGAAACTGTGCTCCCTGCAGTGGAAGCACAGAGTTCTTAACCAGTAGACTTCCAGGGAAATTCAGAATTGTACACTTTAAATGGGTGGATTGCATGGATTATATGAATTATAATCATATAATGAATTATATGAATTATATCTGAATGAAACTGTTTAAAAAAATAGAGAGACCCAGATATAACAAGTGATCTGGAGATAATATGAAGACCAACACCAGTTGGAGACTTTTTCCTTGACTACTGGAGAGTTGATGATAATTAGAAAGTGAATAAGTGTTTTAGATTCAGGGTTATTAAATGCCTTGTATATGAGTTGCCAGTGGCTCAGGTCCCAGCTTTGGAAACCAGTCTCTGATGCAGTATTGCCTTACTGTAATCAGGAAGGCCAGTCAACTGTTAATCATTGTGAGCAGACAGGAGGCAGATAGAGATATTTAGCCCCTGGCACATTTATACTGTATCTATAGAGAGTCCTGGGTTAAGGGAGTATACGAGACCCCCTTCCCCATGAACAGAAACCAGTAAATAACCCAGAGGCTTTCAGAAAGAAAGGGAGAGATGTGAATGGAATCCCTCCCTTTGGAACCTGTGTACACTCAGCCGTTGGTCTTTGTGCTGATCATTATAGCCCTCATTTATTACTTTCTGTGTGTATTAATTTCCTGGGGTCACCATAACAAATGATCACAAACTTGGTGGCTTAAAACAGCAGAAATTTATCCTATCTCAGTTGTGGAGACCAGCAGTGTGAAATCAAGGAGTTGGTAGGTTTGGTTCCTTCTGGAGCTCTGAGGGAGAAGCCATTCCCTGCCTCTCCTAAATTCTGGTGGCTACTGGCCATCCTTAGATGGTGGCAGTGTCACCCTAATCCCTGCCTCTGTCTTCGTGGCCTACTCTCTGCATCTCTCTGTCCCATCTCTCCCTCTCCTTTCTTTTAACAGGATACCCATTATTGGATGTAGGGGCCACCCAAAAACCAGGAAGATCTCTTCTTGTGATCCTTCACTTAATTATATCTGCAAAGATCCTTTTTCCAAATAAGGTCATGTTCACAGGGTCTCGGGGTTAGGACTGGGACATATCTTTTGGGGGCCGCTATTCACTGCTCTGTGAATGTGTCTGGCACTGTGCTAAGCACCCTACGTAGGTCAGTTAGTTAATTCTCAGAACAGGTGTGAAGTGAGGTGAGTGTCATTTTTCCCATTTTAGAATTGAGGAAGCTGAAGCCCAGAGAGGTGAACATGTTAACCAAGGACACCCAGCTTGTATGTGGCAGAATTGAGCTTGAAATCAAAGTCTGCAAAAACCCAGCTGTATGTCATATAATATAGTTCATTGCTGTTGTGTACCATGCTCTGATTTAGGTAGGAAAAGACTTTAAAAATATGAAAATGGGAATTCGTTGGTGATGCAGTGGTTAGGACTCTGCTTTCACTGCCGAGGGCATGAGTTTAGCCCCTAATTGGGGACTAAGATCCCACAAGCCATGCAGCACAGTTGAAAGAAACAAAACATTACAACAAATGTATTGTTTTCAATAGGGAATACATTGCCATGGTCAAAATTTAACATTTACAATAGGATATAAGATGGAAAGTCTCTCTTCCTTCCCTCTCCCCAGCCACCCCTTTCCTCTCCCCAGCCACCCCTTTCCTCTCCCCCAGATGGCAACTGGTAATATCAGTGTATCCTTCCAGGGATGAAAGGCTTGTTTGAAGGTCCCTTCAGATCTCTCTTTATTTTCAGAAGAACCAAAGTCCTGCCTCAGCTGGGTGCTCTTGGGGGTTTTTACCCCCTTCTAACCTCCAAGGTCACCAGCCAGGTGTCAGCTGCCCATAGGAAGGAGGGTCTGGAGGAGTTGAGGTAGCAACTGGCCTTGAGGGTGGTGCTCAAAGGAGTCATTAGTTTTATCTGTACTGCTCTAATGTCAGAAAAGAGAGTGGGTCCACTCATTACTGGCGTTGTTAAAAGTCAGTTAAAAAATGGTGCCCACCTCTGAGGGCAGTGGTGAGAGGACATGGGAGAGGACCCGGTCTATGCGAAGTGATCAATATATGGCCGCTGTGGTTACTGGTACGTTTATCACGACTGCAAAGGAACAGAGTCAGGGGAAAGAGGGCTCGAGGACTTCATACCTGTAAAATCTTTCTGACCTTGTTTCTTCCCTCCAGCAAAAAGGCATCGGGATGAACGAGCCACTGGTGGACTGTGAGGGCTACCCCCGGGCAGACGTGGACCTGTACCAAGTCCGAACCGCAAGGCACAACATCGTCTGTGAGTGACCCTGGCTGGGGATGTGCCCTCACCTTGCAGCAGGAGGTGTTTAGGGCACAGAGGAGGCACTAGTATTCCATATTACCTGCTTCCCTCTCCTCTCCCTGATGGGATCATCTCCTTGTCCCCATGGAGGGACTGAGAACTATGGGAATGGAATAGACTCTAGGGGTCTATATTTATGGTCTCATTTTTCTTTTTTTTTTAAATCCTTTTTTAAAAAAATTGTTTTATTTTTTGGCCTCACCATGTGGTATGTGGGATCTTAGTTCCTTGACCAGGGATCAAACCCATGCTCCCTGCCTTGGAAGCATGGAGTCCTTAACTACTGGACCTCCAGGGAAGTCCTGTGGTTTCATTTTTCATTTTGCTTTTAGGAACCTTGCTTCATTGCAGAAACTTTTATTGCAGTAACAACAGAAACCCAAGGCAGATATGGCTTACAATCCCAATCAAATCAGTTACATGTTAGGAAGTATGTTTCGCTGTTAATGATAGTGACCCGACTATGGACACTCAAGCAGAAAATAGCTCAGTCTCTCAGTAAAGACATTTGGAGGTAGGCCGTGCAGGCTGGTCTTCAGAAACCAGGCTCTGCCATCCTTAGGAAATCTTGTCCATCTTCAGGGTCACCATATCCATGTGGCAGGCGGGAAGAAAGGGGAGGAAGAAGGTAGGAAGGACACAAGCTCCTATGCCAGCTGGTACCGCTCCTGTTAAGGATCTGTCCTGCAAGTCCCATGCCCATGTCCTGCATCAATTTCTGCTTTCCTCTTATAGGCTCCCCTGCCTGCAAGAAATGTACCCCACAATGGGTGTGTTACTATCTTAAATAAAATATCTTATGTATATAGGTGTATATAGTGTGTCCCTGGAGAAGGAAATAGCAACCCACTCCAGTATTGCCTGAGAGATCCCATGGACAGAGGAGGCTGGCAGGTTACAGTCCATGGGGTTGCAAAGAGTTGAGCATGACTTAGCACCTAAACAGCATAGTATGTATGTATGTATTTATTATCAAGGAACAGAGAGAGTGAATAGAGGTTGGGTAGTTTATTTGACTTCTGTTTCTGCTGTAACAAGTCATCACAGACTTAGTGGTTTAAAATGTCACAAATTGGGACTTCCGTAGTGGTCCAGTGGCTAAAAACTTTGCCTTCTAGTGCGGGGGTGTGGGTTTGATCCCTGACCCGGGGAACTAAAATCCCACATGCCTTGTGGTCAAAAAACCCAAAACATAAAACAGAAGCAATATTGCAACAAATTCAGTAAAGACTTTAAAAATGGCCTACATCAGAAAAAAAAATCTTAAAAAAAAAAGTCACAAATGTATTATCTTACATTTCTGGAAGTGAGATGTCCAAGTGGGTCTCACTATACTAAAATCAAGCTGTCAACAGAGCTGTGTTCCCTCCAGAGAATTCATTTCTTTGTCTTTTCCAGCTTCTAAAAGCTGCCCACCTTCCTTGACTTGTAGCCCTTTCCATCTTCAAAGCCAGTGGTCACTTCTCTCCAATTTCTGAGTCTGTCATCACGTCTTTCTCTCATCCTCCTGCCTCCCTCTTTCACTGATAAAGACACCTGTGATCACATTGGGCTACCACTTGAATAATCCAGGACAGCCTCCCATCTCAGGGCCCTTAACTTAATCCCACCTGTACAGCCTCCCTTGTTATGTCAAGTAGCAGATTCACAGTGTCTGGAATTAGGATGTGAACATCCTTTCTTGGGGCCACTTTCATGCTGCCACAACTAGGCAACCAACGATTTCTACAACAAGGGCATGTCAAATAGTAGGGAATTTATCATCTACATTACTCCTCCCACTTTTTAAAAAACTAATTTATTTATTTTGGCTGCACTGTGTCTTTGTTGCTGCACTCAGGCTTTCTCTCGGGCTATTCTTTGTTGCAAAGTGTGCTGACTTCTCACTGCAGTGGCTTCTCTTGTTGCCGAGCCTGGGCTGCAGGGGCCTGGGCTTCAGTAATTGTGGCAAACGGACTCAATTGCCCCACGTCATGTGGAAGCTTCCTAGACCAAGGATCAAACCTGTGTCCCTGGCATTGGCAGGCGAATTCTTAACCACTGGCCCACCAGGGAAGTCCTACTTTATCCCCTTGGTGACTTCTGTTTTACCTCTGTGAATCTTGACTCTCTCTGCAGCATGCTTTGGTATAAGTTGTCTTTACGTTAAAAAAAAAAAAGCTACCCAGATCCTAGCCATTCTCCTGGACTGGCCTGCAGAGACAGCTTACTCGACTGGCCCATTTGTTCCCCACATTTTGAGTTAACTGGCAGTACTGAAAAAAATCAGAGGACTTCATCCCAAACTCCTGGTTTCCAACTGTTCTCACTGTTGCCTCTCCCACACTGAACACCACCAGTCGTGTGTTTCTAGATTGGGCATCTTCTGGAAGCATTAAGAGAAAAGTGAGGTCCTCCTCGGCTCCAGCCTGCTTCACTTGGTCGCTTGCTCACGGCGCTGCCCCTTGTGTATGCCTGAGCTTGTGCCATGGATTCAGCTGGACGAGTCCCTCCCCCTGCTCACCTTTCAGGCCTCCACTGAAATGGTGCTACCTTTGGCAGGCCTTCCTTGATCTTCTAGATGAGCCAGGTCAGGGCCCATGGGTGGGTCAGCCCTCATTGTGGTCATCAGGTGTTATTGTAATCACTCATCCCTTGGCTGCTCCCCTTGTGGGACTGTAAGCTTCATGAGGGCAGCCCCTCTGTCTTGTTTGTCGATGAGTCCTCAGTGTCTGGCCCAGTCTCTGGGATTTAATAAGCACTTGTTAAATATTTAGTGAATGAATGTGGGGGGCGTGTCTCATGTCTTCTGCTGTCTTTTCTTGGCCCCTGATACGATGCTCTCCTTCAGGCCTGCAGAACGACCATAAGGCAGTGATGAAGCAGGTGGAAGATGCCCTGCACCAGCTGCACGCTCACGACAAAGAGAAGCAGGCCCGGGACCTGGCCGAAGCCCACAGGGAGGCCCTGAGCCGCGGCCAGAGCCACGGCCTCAGCCCTCCTCAGGCCTTCGCCAAAGTGAACAGCGTCAGCCCCGGCTCCCCCGCCAGCATCGCGGTAAGCCAGGGCTGACTCCCTGAGTCCACGCCCTGAGGGTGCCTTGAGGTGGACTTGAGGGTGGGGCACTGTGGACAGACAGACCACACTCTCTCCAGGGCAGCAGACGCCAGGGAAGGCCAGTGGGAGTTAGGCCGTGCTGCCCGCTCCAGTAGCCACGAGAGAAACCCTGGGCCACAAGGTGGAAGGTGATAGATGTCTCAAGAGAGGGAAGGAGGCTCTCCTCCTGGGCCTGATTTTCGCTGGGCGTTGAATAGTAGATAGGAGGGTAACAACAGCAGCTGCCGCTTACTGAGTCCTTGCTGTGCAACACGTGTCCTGCCAAGTGAGCTTGCCTGGTGTGTTTTGACAAGTTTTAACAGCTTTAATTGGGATATAGTTCATATGCGGTAACTTCTATCCATTTAAGGTACATATATGATTGAATGGCTTGTGGTGTATTAACAGTCAGGAGTCAGATTTTAGAGTATTTTCATTATTCTAAAAAGAAACCAATTAGGCGTTACACCTCAACCCCCATCTCCCCTAACCCCTGGCACCCACCAGTCTGCTTTCTATTTCTATAAATTTTCCTATTTTGGGCATTTCATATATGAGTGAATGGAATCATACAATATGGGGTCCTCTATATCTGGCTTCTCCCTCTTAGTATCACGTTTTCGAGGTCTATCCACGTTGGAGCATGTATGTCAGCTTCACTGCTTTTTCATTTTCTAAAATGTTTTATTGGAGTGTAATTGGTGTATAGTGTTGTGTTAGTTTCAGGTGTACAGCAGAGTGAGTAAGTTACACATGCACATAGACCGCTCCTCGTTGGATTCTTCTCCCGTATCGGCCGTTACAGAGCACGGAGTAGGGTTCCCTGTGCGTACAGTGGGTTCTTATTAGTCACCTATTGTACATATAGTTGTATATAATCTCCCAGTTTGTCCCTTTCTCACTTGCATTCCTTTTTACCGCTGAGTATAGTATGGTGTCTGGATAGATCACACTTTGTTTATGCATTCATCAATTTGGTTCCATTTTCTCGCTATTATGAACAGTGCTTATGTGAACATGACAAACAGATTTTTATGTAGAGCTGCAATTAATGCTGAATCCCACAGCCCCTCTCTGGAGTAGGTACCATTTCACCCAGGGGAAAAGCCTCAAACCCCTGAAGTACTTTTTGCTAGGACACATAGCTTCTAGAAGGCGGAATTGGGCCCTGCCAGTCATCTTTAGTGATCGTAAGACTGCGAGTTAACATGTTTTATCCACTGCTGTGCATACAACATCTGGTACAGAGTTGTCGGCCTGTGACGAGTATCTGTGGAAGGAATGGAGGAATTGTGATCTGTGTTCTTAGAACCACAGGGTCACTCTTGTCCTGGGTCAGCGTTGTGCTCCTGGCTGCTCGAATGGGGCCTTCTAGGGCCAATGTATCTAAATGCTGACTCCTGAACAAAATAGGCCAGGTTGGCTTGCTACTCCTTGCCCCCCGCACCTGGGTCAGGACCCCCGGAGAGCTTTGCCCCCTGTTCCTGAAGGCTTTCACCAGGCACTGGGCGGACCCGGCCAGCCGCCTTTTGCTCACTCTGTTCCTGGAGGAACCCCTGGAGGAGCTGGCCCAGTTATGCGCTGTCTCTTCCTGCCTGATGTATCTAAATCCTAACCTCTTTGCTTCGTGCCTGCCGTTCTTCTCTGTGGAAAACATGCTCATTAAAAAAAAAAATCAGAGTATAATTGCTTTACAACATTGTGTTTCTGTTGTACAATGAAGTGAATCAGCCACATGTGTACATATATCCCCTCCCTCTTAAGTGTCCCTCCCACCCTAACTCCCATCCCACCCCTCTCGGTCACCACAGACCACTGAGCTGAGCTCCCTGTCTATACAGCAGATTCCCGCTGAAAACGCGCGTTGACTTAGGACTGTCTGAGAGGGTGAAGGACACCAGAGGCACACTGACCTCTCTCCTGACTTCCTGTTTTCTCTTCTCTCTTTAGGGTCTGCAAGTGGATGATGAGATTCTGGAGTTTGGCTCTGTGAACACCCAGAACTTCCAGTCACTGCAGAACATCAGCAGTGTGGTCCAGCACAGTGAGGGGGTGAGCTGGAGGCTGTGTGGTGTCTGGCCAGTGACCCTGGAACTGCCGGGGCAGGAGCTGTGGCCGGGGGTGGGCCAGCTGCCCTCAGGGGGCTGTTTCTCAGGCACAGTCCTTCCCACACAGGGCCTTTACATTGACTCTTCCCTCTGCCTAGAATGCTTATGCCCCTGATTTCTGGCAGGCATCCGTCCAAGAAGCAGTTGGCTGGTGTCGGCGCCCTGCTCGAGATCAGGCCCTCATTTCCACATTGACACCTTCATCCAGTCTGTACTTAGGTGGAAGTTTATAATTTTGATTTTTGTCAAACTTATTAGTTTTGCACTTTATGGCTTGTATCTGCTTGAAGAAATTCTTCTAGTGCTTTTATTGGTTTGGTTTTAGCTTTTCTTTAATCCATCTGGCATGTATCTTTTATTATTTTTTTTAATAGCAGTTTGACTGAGGTACAATTTACATACCTTCCAGGTCACCCATTTAAAGTGCATAATTCACTCATTTTTAGTCTGTTCGTAGAGTTGAGCATCCATCACCACAATCAGTTTTATTTATTTTTTAAATTTTTATTTATTTATTATTTTTTAGAATCAATTTTAGAACATTTTCATCACCTCAGACAGAAGCCTCATTCCCATTAGCAGTCACTCCCATTTTCCCCATATATACCAACCCCTGGCAGCCACTATACTACTCTTTGTCTCTACAGTCTTGCTTATTCTGGATATTTCATGTAAATGGAATCATACAGTATATGATTTATACTGTATATATATACACACACATATATACTGTGATATATCCTGTATATATAGTAAGTGATATATATATATCATTTAGTGTAGTGTTTTCAAGATTCATCCATGTTGTAGCATATGTCAATACTTCATTCCTTTTAATGACCAAATAGTACCCCATTGTATGGATAGGCAATATTTTATTTATCCATTCATTAATTGACGAATATTCAGATTGTTTACACTTTTGGGGTATTATTATAGAGTAATACTTCTGTGAACATTCTATATAAGTTTGTGTGTGCACATATGTTTTCATTTCTCTTAGATTCATAGTTCATCTGAAATTAATTTTTGTGAATGGTGTGAAGCAGGGTCCCAGACATATTTTTTTTCCCAAAATGGATAATAGTTGTTCCAGTATTGTTTATTGAAAATTTAGTACTGTACCCACTCTTTTATATTGCCACATCTGTTATATAATTCTTATATGTGGGATTGTTTGTTTCTTTGGTCTGTTTGTTTGGAACCTTTCTGGGGTTCCCTAGAACAAATCCATTTGTCCTGCTCTGCTTCCCTTTAACCCTTTGCCAGAAAAGGTGTATTGGTGAGTGAAAAAAATCACCCCAAAACTTTAGCAGCTTCAAGCTTCACGAATTTATTAGCTCATACAGTTTGGGGGTCAGGCAGTGTCTAGGAGTCACATAGCTGGGTGGTTTTGGTTCAGAGTCTCTCATGAGGCTGTGATCAAGATGTAAGCAGAGGTTGCAGTCACCTGAGGGCTTGACTGAGGTTAGAAAATCTGTGTCCAAGGTGCCTCACTCACCTGGCTGTTGGCAGGAGACTTCAGTTCCTCAGCACATGGGCCTCTCCACAGTGCTGCTTGAGTGCCCTCACAGCATGGCGGCTGGCTTCTCCCAGAGTGGGCATTCCAGGTGAGAGCAGAGAGCCGACAGCAGCACCTTCTCTGACGCAGTCTCTGAAGGTTCACACTATCATTTCCACTGTATTCTATTTGTTAGAAGCAGCTAAGTCCAGGCCTCACTCAAAGGGAAAGGAATTAGGCTTTAACTCTAGAAGGAAAGAATTCCGAAGAATTTATCATTGTGGCATTATACCTTTGTCATCTCTTTACTGTCTCATCATCATTTTAGTGAGGTTTCTAGAGATGATGCATTGTGTTATTTTTACCAGAGTCTCTGTTTTTCACTCCTTCTTCCCTACCCCACCTTCCCAGCTTGCTAGTGTGTTAGAGTTTACTCAGGTTTCTTGGGTACCTTGCTGCACGTAACAATATTTTTAAACTTTGTAGTTGTCTGGGCTCATTATTACTGGTTTGTGTTGTAAATATGTCTTTTTTTTTTTTTTTTGCCCCCTGGAAAAGGTAATACTTACTAATAGCAAAAACAGAACGAAAAAATATAATGAAAAACCTCCCTCTCCTCCAAGTTTATTTCCTTTCCTCCAAAGGCAGCTGCTTTCGAACTGTGTGTCCTTTCAGGGACAGGTTCTTTGTGCATGAGCATACAGGTTAAGGTCTGATGTACCCACAGCAGAATTCACCCTTTTCAGTGTATAGTACTATGAATTTTGCCAACTGTATGTAGTTAAGTAAATATCACCAAATGAAGATACGTCGCAGTTCTACAACCCAAAATGGCCTCATCTTTTTGTAGTTAACTTCTCCCCATGCCTCATCCCCAGGAAACCACGAATCTATGCTCCACTCCTGTGGCTTTACCGTTTCTAGAATGTTGTGTAAGTGAAACTGCACAGTATAAAGCCCTTTAAGAGACTTCCCTGGCAATCTAGTGGTTAAGACTCTGTGCTTCCATTGCATGGGGTGCAGGTTCCGTCCCTGGTCAGGGAACTGAGACCTGGCATGCCATGTGGCACAGCTGAAAAATAGTCCTGTAAGTCTGGCTGCTTTCACCCAGTGTCCTGCATCTACGGTTCTTCCAAGCTGGCATGTGCATCTGTAGTTCATTCCTTTTCACTACTGAGTAGTAATCCATTGCGTAATGACCCCCAGACTCTTCATCCATTTCCCAACGTGGGACATTTAAGTTGTTTCCAGTTTTTGGTGGTTACTCATAATAGCTACTGGTTTCTAGTCCGTCTTTTCTAGTTAAATATAGTCTTAGACTGCTGCTGCTAAGTCACTTCAGTCGTGTCCGACTCTGTGTGACCCCATAGACGTCAGCCCACCAGGCTCCCCCATCTCTGGGATTCTCCAGGCAAGAACACTGGAGTGGGTTGCCATTTCCTTCTCCAATGAGTGAAGAAAGTGAAGTCGCTTAGTCTTAGGCTATTTATAGCTAAAAATCTGTTTTTGTTAACATTGAGGTATAATTGATGTATAACTATATGAATATTATTTTCAGATGTAAAACATAATAATTCAACGTTTGTATATATCGGGCATTGATTGCCACAATAAGTCTAGTTAACATCTGTCACCATACATAGTAGTTACAAGTTTTTTTTTTGGTGATGTGCACTTTTAAGATTTACTCTCTTAGCACCTTTCAAGTATGCAATAGAGTATTATTATATTCCATATTGCACAGCATGGTGACTCTAGTTAATAATACTGCATGATTCCTTTTTTTTACAAAGGTAGTTATTGAACATTTTGTAAGAAATTTCATTCTTTAAAATGAAATTTCCTGGGGAATTCCAGTATATCAAACAGACGAGTTGAACTGCTGGGATGAGCTAGAGGTGGGGTGGGGGCAATCTCACATCATCAGGGCCCTAGGTCCTCCTAGAACCAGAGCACAGCTTGAGAATCATGGATCTGGGTTTCCATGGTCTGCTCTGTGAATTGGAGAAAATAAAATTTTTTGTAACCCCATAGCATTCTATTGTTAGACATTTAGAAAGAAAGAAAGTGAAGTCGCCCAGTCATATCCGACTCTGCGACCCCATGGACTGTAGCCCACCAGGCTTCTCCATCCATGGAATTTTCTAGGCAAGTGTACTGGAGTGGGTTGCCATTTCCTTCTCCAGGGGATCTTCCCAACCTAGGGATCAAACCCGGGTCTCCCACGTTGCAGGCAGACACTTTACCATCTACCAGGGAATCCCCTAGTTAGATATTTAGGTAGTTTCCAATTAGAAATAACACTCTTGTAGACAAATCTCTGTTTCTTTAGATAAGTTTTTTAAAGGTGAGTTTCTGGATCAAATGCATGTATTTTCAAAGGAAAAAAATCTTAAAACAATATTTCCTTATATTAAAAATAGTGTGTATTCAACCATAAAAAAAGAAAGGTGTACTGATATGCTATAACAGTAACAATCCTTGAAAGGATTTGTGCTAAGTGAAAGAAGCCAGACACAAAGGGCCACATATTTTAGATTTCCATTTATATGAAATGTTCAGAAGAGGCAGATCCATAGAAAGTAGAAAGGTGGTTTCCAGGGGTTGGGGAGGAGGGACAGGAGAGTAATTGCTAATTAGTGATTGCTAATTGCTAATTAGTGATTGCTAATGGGCATGGGGTTTCTTTTTGGGTGATGGAAATGCTCTGAAATTAGATAGTGGTGATGGTTGGACAAATCTCTGAATGTACTAAAACCCACTGAATTGTATACTTTTTTATTATTGTAAAAAATATTTATTTGGCTGCACTGGGTCTTAGTTGTGGCCACCTGGGATCTTTGTTGCGGCATGCAGGATCTAATTCCCTGACCAGGGATCGAACCCAGGCTCCCTGCATTGGGAACGAGGAGTCTTAACCATTGGACCACCAGGGAAGTCTCAAAATTTCTATTATTTTTAATTGAAGGAGAGTTGATTTATTTTTTTTAATTAATTAGTGTAGCTGCCTGGGGTCTTAGTTGTGACACACAGGGACTTTGTTGAGGAGCACAGGCTCTGTAGTTGCATTGAGCAGCCTTAGTTGCCATGCAGCATGTGGGAACTTGGTTCCCCAACCAGAGATTGAACCCATGTCCCCTGCATTGTAAGGCAGATTCTTAACCACTGGACCCCCAGGGAAGTCCCTGAAGTATATAGTTGATTTATAACATATGTGACCTTTTAGGACATACATTCAGATGGATTCATACTTCACTGGTTTTGTTTTATTTTTACTAAACCTACTTATTCACTGCACTATATTTGAACAATACCTTATTGAGGGGTATTTTGGGTGTTTTCAGTTTTTGAAATTTATAAACAGTCTGGGATGAATGCTTTGTTTATTTATCATCTTGTAGTTTTGCAAAAGATATCTTGTATGCACTTTTCAAAGACTTTGTTGTTGTTGTTGGGGAGGTATGTTTCTCCAGGAGGATGGTACCAAATCTGTAGCCCCATTGGCTGCCCCCAGAGTGCCACGTCCCCTGCATTCTTGCCCACTGCAGAAATTATGTTTAGAATAAGCATCCTGGGACTTCCCTGGTAGTCCAGTGGCTAAGGCTCTGTACTCCCAATGCAGGGGGCCCAGGTTCGATCACTGGTCAGGGAACTAGATCCCACATCTTGCAACTAAGACCTGGCATAGCCAAATAAATAAATAAGTAAAAGCAAAAAAAAAATTTTTTTTAAAGCCTCCTTACCAATCTGGTGGGCAACCCCCCGCCCCCCGCCCCCGCTACTCCCAGTATCTCAGCCTTCTAGCCTGACTCTCTTTGAATGCTAAGGAGGCTGAACATAAAATGAGCTTATTTTCCTTTCAGAAGCCCCTGAATGTGACAGTGATGCGCAGAGGGGAGAAACACCAGCTTAGACTCGTGCCAACACGCTGGGCAGGAAAAGGACTGCTGGGGTAAAGTATCTGTGTCCATTCATTCACACTGCAGCGTCCACTGCATGCTTGTTAGACATAAAACTCCAGGCAGGAGGTGGGGTCGTTGGGGAAGGAAGGGAGTTTCCAGATTACCTGTAGCAACTCATGATGAATCTTTTTGGCAGGAATGAGATTGCAGGTGTGGAGGTGGAGGGAGCCCTGGTCTTTGGGTCTTTCATTAACTGGGCGTTTGTGTTGAATGAACAAAAGCACGTAGGTGAAGAGCTCAGAAGGGATCACTTCTGATCTTCCTGAATGGAGCCACCAAACTTACATACTGTTTTCTTTTTTTTTCCAGCTGCAGCATTATTCCATTGCAAAGATGACTGTCCCTGAGGAATGGAAACAGGAAAGCATCTTCCTTTGCCCCAGACCTGGGTCTAGTGGGCATTTCCTCCTCTTCATCTTTGCCTGAAGTTCGAGGATCTCAAAGAGACTGGACGGCTGAACTTCTAGGTGGTGGAAACACTGTGGCCTCTCATTTTAATCTCTTGGGATTAAGGCATTGTTAAAAACTTGATTTGTGTTTAGCATCTTTTGCAGGTTAGGCCATGACCCTAAGTGAGACTCCCCTGGATGGTGAGGAAGTGGGCGGGAGTTATTCTGGCAGGTGCTGATGTGACTTTATTCTTCTAGAAATCTTTTTTTCCAAATAAAACCCAGTTTTACAGTATTGATATGATCATGTTATCACCCCAGTTGAATTTCCTATGAACCTCTCAAACCAAAACTCAAGACAGGAGTTAGAGCCTCTTCATAGAAAGTTGGGCAGAACAAATCAACAGTTGTGCTGAGATCAAGGTTTGGCTAACAATCTCTCTGGAACATGATCCTTTAGTGAATGGGGTTTCCAAACACTCAGGCTGCACCATCTGCTCTTGCATTGCAGCATTGCTGCTCTGGCTACAGAAATTGCATCCTCAGCATTTGAATCTCCAGGGCCACAGCTCCCTCTAAGATTAAGGGAAGCCAAGAAGTACTCCTGGTAGCTCAGTATAGTGTCAGCTTCCTTTCCATAACCCACCTGAGAGCAAAAAGGTCCTTTTCTGGAATAAAAGACCCTGCAAATTAGCCCCTAATGACTTTTCATAATTGAACCTCCTAAGGTGTGTTGACATTACTGATGAGAATCAGCAGGGTGTGCAGACCTGGTTTCTTGAAAATGCTGATTCCTCCTGCCTGCCTTTTCTTTCTTGAACGTGGCAGTGTGAGTTTCAGTGATACTTAGTGACTCCCTGTTTTACGTTCCTTCTCGTCACCGTATTACAATGCTTATCTCCACAGTTACTGCCAGACCACCTTCTGTTTCAGAGGGCATTGGCACATTCTGCTGAACACATGTTCAGGTTCCTCAGGACTGGATTTGCTTGGCTTGGATACAGATACCAGGTCGTCCTGACAGGAGTCAGTACTGGGTGTGCTCCTGTCCATGGGCACTCATGCTCAACTGGAAAGACCTCCTATTGAGTACCCCAAACTGTGTACCCTAGCCAAACTTCCACCTGGATTTCCCCCCTTGTAGCCACAGATGTGCTGTGTTTACCAGTGTTTGCTTTTTAAATTGTTTTTTCTAATTCCATGTGTTTTCCAATCTCTTTTTATAAACCTTAGACTATAATAAACAGGTTTGTCCCATCCAGTAATCCCTTTTACTTTTTTTGAGATGTGTGTATATGAAGATCCCCTGGAGTCGAAAATGGCAACCCACTCCAGTATTCTTGCCTGGAAAATTCCATGGGCAGAGGATGGAGGCTACAGTCCATGGGGTCGCAAAGAGTTGGATAGGACTGAGCATACACACACAAACCCACATGCTTGATAAAACCAGCCTTGTGATAAGAGGGTGTGGTGGCGTCAGGAGAAGCATTCAGTCCTCCTAAAACAGTCTTCTGCCTCAGTGCCTTTGGCTGGTTTCCTTCATGTCTTCCTTCAGAAACCTCAGGATGGATAGGCAGGCAGGCTGTCTTTTTTGAGGGGCTAGTGGAGGGTTGCTTTGAGTTGGAATCATCCTAATGGATTTTACCACACTGGTTTGATAGAAACATTTTGTGATAAGAATCGCAAGATAATGTAACCTGTGTAATATTTAATCCCAGCCAGCTAAAATGATCTACACAACATGTAGTTCCCCGGGCGAGGAGCCTTGGAGGACAGCTGTAAGGTGCATTAACAAGACCGGAAAATTCAGTTTGCTTTTGACAAAGAGAATTTTATCAAACAGTTCGTACTTCTTCACTTAATTTTGTTAAGCCTTCAGAAAGTCAGAATTGCTGGGACTGGCCGCTGCAGCTTCTTTGTGGATGGCTTCAAGGGAAAAAGTTGGGGACAGAGAAGAGGAGGAAAGCCAATTTCAGCGCGCCAAGTCGCGGCGGCGCTTCTCCCCACGAACCGCCAGGGGGCGTGCTCGGCCCGCTCCCGCCTCTTTCTGGGCATGTGATCTCGGTCCAGCCTTCTTGCTTTACGGCCAGTCGCCTGCAGCGGCAGCGGTTACCATGGAGACGGGGCTTGGTTGGCAACCGTAACTAGGGAAAAGTTTGCTGTGAGGAATAAATGAGAGAATACGTTAAAAGGCTTTTGTGAAGTGAAGTGGCTCAGTCGTGTCCGACTCTTTGTGACCCCATGGACTGTAGCCCACCAGGCTCCTCCCATGAGATTTTCCAGGCAAGAGTACTGGAGTGGGTTGCCATTTCCTTCTCCAGAGGATCTTCCCCACCCGGGGATCGACCCCGGGTCTCCCGCCTTGTAGGTAGACGCTTTACCGTCTGAACCACTGGAAGTTTAGTTTTAAAAGGCTTTTAAACTTTCTAGACGACTGCTGCCATTTCTCACGCACTCTGTGCTGCAGCTCTGTTGAGCATTTTACATATGTCACCTCATCTTCATAAGACCCCCAGAATGTAGGGTTATCATTTTCATTTTGCCAGTGAGCAAATTTAGACTCTGAGGGGTAAAGTGACTTGCCCAGGGTCACAGAACTACTGAGTGCTGGAACTGGGATTCAGTGCCAGCACAGGCTGACTGAAAAGACACTTTTCACCACTACCTGCTTCTTCCTTGATTCATATGCTTAGAATTGTTGCCAATGCCTGAGTTATCATTTTGCTGCCTGTGGGAATATGAGTATATTTAAAGTGAGTTAGAGGGCTCTAAAATTATTCCTAGAAAGGAATGAATCCCCGGGGGCAGGGGGGAGGGGGTGTTGGGCATCAATATTTTTAAAGATTTTGGACAAGCTTTCCCAGGAGTCTGGCATTCTTCTCATTCTCATGGAAAGGGACAGAGCTGGCATTGCCAGCTGATATGTTTGTGGACCAGGAAATCAAAGTGGGACAAAGAGGTCCCTGCTGATTATTATGTTCAAAATTTCTTTAGAGAAAACTCCAAAGAGAAGAATGTCAGATGCAGAGGAAAACCCACTAGAAGAAACAGAATACGGAGAAATAGAAATGCAAGAAGAAGATGAAGAAGAAGAAGAAGATCCAAATTTTGAAGGGCTAGAAAATATGCAAGGGGAATTAAAAGAAGTTAACACATTAGCATGGACAGCGTCTCCAGAGGAGGAGGAGGGAGAAGAAGGGAGGGAGTTTGGGGAGGAGGTGGAAGCAGAGGATGGGGAGGAAGGAGAGGTGGAGAGAAGAGAAGAGGAAGAGGAGGACAGGGAAGGGAAGGAGGAGGGAGAGGAAGAAGAGGAGGAAGAAGGGGAAGGGGAGAAGAGAGTGGAGGAGCATGGGGAAGAGGGAGGGAAGGGAGAGGAAGTGGTGGAAGGATTTGGGAAGGAGGCTGTCAAAGAAGAAGTAGGGGAAGAGACTGCAGAAGCACTGGAGGAGGAAGAGGAGGCCTCAGGAGCACAGGAAGAAACCTCTGTAGAGCCCGAAGAAATCACCACGTCCATGATCAGTTTGGAGAGATTTACACAGATTGATTCCCAGACCATCTTCTCAGAAACATCCCTAGTAAGTTGGAATTGTCATTTGTTCATTCTTTCCTAATCATTAACTGCATGCTTGTTACCCACTTACCTGCCCGGCTATGGGAATATAAAACCAAATAAGACACAATCCATTCTCTTAGAGCTCTAGGTTGTGTAAGGAGGCAGACCCATAACTGAAGAGCAAGTGTTAGAAAACTAAGTGGAGTGAGGGGACTTCCCTGGTGGTTGAGTGGCTAAGATTCTGAGCTCTCAATGCAGGGGGCCTGAGTTGGATCCCTGGTCAGGGAATTAGACCCCATATTGCCACAACTAAGACCTGGCACAGTCAAATAAATATTAAAACAAACAAACAACTGAACTAAGTAGAGTGATTGAGAGATGCATAAGAGATATGTATCTGTATTAAGGCTGACAACCCAGCTTAGCAGATGATCAGGGAAATCTTCCTGGAGGAAGTGTGTGCCAGAGCTGACTTAAAGGACAGTGGTTAACTGGAGTGTGCTTATCTAAAGAGTCAGCCTGTAAAACTCAGCTGTGGTCCAAGAAGTGTGCGCCTGTGTGCTCAGTTGCTTCGGCAGTGTCTGAATCTCTGGGACCCTGTGGACTGTAGCTCGCCAGGCTCCTCTGTCTGTGGACTTTCCCAGGCAAGAATACTGGAGTGGGTTTCCATGCCTTCCTCCATGGGATCTTCCCAACTTAGGGATCAAACCTGAGTCTCCTGCATCTCCTGCATTGTAGGTGGATTCTTTACCCACTTAGCCACCTGGGAAGCCCCAAGGAGAAGTGACTCTCTGTGACTTTGTGGTGGTTTTGGAGGCCACTTAGAAGAATCATTTTGCTGTTGTGGGTCTGCTAGTAAGCTGAGAATAAACTTAACACACCCACGATTCCTGTTATTTGAGTACAAAACATCCCAGGCTCTCTTTTAAAGCGGTTCATAATTCTGATGTGAGGCTAACACTAAGACTGGCTGATTAGGAAAAGAAAGGAAACTAAATGAGGGACTGTAGCAGCATGTACTGTATTTGGCATCACAGTCTCCTTTTTATTTCTTTTTTTTTTTTAAAGAAAAGTAGCGAGTCAAAGCATTCATTACAATCAGAGCTTTTGGAAATGTTCGAGCTTCCAAGAAGCCCTGGCTCACAATTAGAGTTTCTGGATTTGGATGTAACCACTTCTGGGGAACCACTGATTAGTTTCCCGGAAAGGCAGCCTTCAGGCGAGCTCTACCAGAGGCCCCAAGATGAATTGGAAGAAGAAGAAGGGAGAGATTTGGAACCAGAAAGGGGAGACTTGGAGCAGGAAAACAGGGAAAGGAGAAAAGAAATGAGAGTATCATATACCAGCGAGAAAAGCGAAGAAGAATCACAGCCCAAAGCAAGGATCACCAAGGCATCGCTGGTCTCCACCGCCACCGAGGACATTTTGTTCCAAAGGAGGGAGAGTACCAACTTGTATCCCTTGGTAAGTGTGGCATCCTTTTATGTGTTTACTTTTTAAAACTTTTTTTTTTTTTGGAGTATAGCTGATTAACAATGTTGTGAAAGTTTCAGGTGAACAGCAAAGGGACCCAGCCATACACATATGTGTATCCATTCTCCCTCAAACCCTCCTCCTATCCAAGCTGCCAAATGGCCCCCAGTGCTTTGAGAGTATTTTGAAGTAGGGGAATTTTATGCCTATGGAAAAAAATGCCACCAGAAAGATCCATTTTAAGCTAATCATAGACTTGGGTCTTTTTAAAGTTCAGTTCAGAGCTCTGGCTGGCCGTGTGTGACAGAATGTGCTGCATCTGGGTTTGATAGCGGCACTGTTCTGCAGGCAAAGAAATTCCACAAGCGGTTTGTCTGTTGCATAGGGTGTTATTTTCTTTCTTTCTTTCTTTTTTTTTTTTTGGCCGCGCCTTGAGGCATGTGGGGAGTTCCTCGACCAGGGATGGAACCCATGCCCTCTGCAATGGAAGCATGCAGTCTTAACCACCGGGCCACCAGGGAAGCCCAGGGTGTCGTTTTCTTGTGGGAGACTCAAAATCTCTCTCTCCCCTTTCCCCTCTCCCCTCTCTCTATCTGTTTCTCTCCCTTTCCCACTCTCTCTCTCTTTGATATTCTAATACTTCTCTTCCAGCCACCAATTCTCTTTCTCCTCCTCTCCTCACCTCTTCCCCTGTAACTGGCTTGATCCCTTCACCAGCTCCCCAAACCATGACAGCTTCCTAAAAACTAGCCACCCCAAGATGGATCAATAAGCGAAAGGTCTGGAAGACGTGAAAGCCACCAGGAAAAGCACCAGTCGGTCCAATGGAGTCTGCCTTTGCTGCCACTGACAGCATTGCAAGGAGGCACCATCTGCGAGGAATAAAAATATTATCATTTGCCAAGAGAAGGAAGAGGAGGTTTCTTTTCCCCCTTCTTCCTCCATCTGCTACTTTCTGAAAATTGTTTCCTGGGATTCATCTTTCCCCCGCCTCTCCACTGTAGATCCATGCCTTTGGAAGATTCATAAGTGATGGAGTGTGTATACTTAATGCAGTTCCTAACACAGAGTGAGCACTTGACAAGTGTTAACAACCAGATGATGAATGGGTGGTGGTGGTGGTGGTAATGGAAGGACGCCGAGGGGGAAGTGCAGAGAAACTGACAGCCTCCTTTCTGTAGATGTGGCTGGCTTTGAGCAGTGGAGTTAAAGCTTCAAGCTTGCAGTTGCT